CCACTAGTTATTTTCACGAACATTACAATTGCAGTTCATTGAATGACCTCAAGTGAATAATGACACAAAGACACGTGTAGAGAGGAAAGTTCCTTTGATTTTTTTCTTTAGAAAAGCAGAGGAAAATAAGCAGTTTTGTTGAAGAAGCTTAGAAAGAGAAAAGGAGTTGATCCCCCGAGCCAAGTTACAGAGACCCAGCCAGACAAACCCATCGATAAGCCCCTCCCCCCCAAAAGACAAGAATCAATTAAAAAACATGGAGACACATGATAGAAAAAAAAAACAAATGAGAAAAGGATTGCAAAGTCAAGCATCACTCCTATGAAGTCTACACGCCTAAAGCAATATTACACTACATGCAGCTACAAAAGGTTAGAGCTCAAATCCCCAACTAACTGCTGAATAACTCTGTCCTGAACTCGACGTGGACACAAGGCAGGCAGTGATTTGTGATCAGAAATGTAGCAAAATTATATCAGACATAAAGACATCAACTGGCCTGCTGGTTAGCTCCCCTAAGAATACAGACACCAAAAGATGCAGGAAGGAGTAAATTATTTTTCATGTGTTCACCATAGTACGGTGCACATCTTCATCTTTAGTCTTTATAATGATAACTTTGGTCATCTCCCTGCAGCAGGATAATGGAGGCTAAAGTGTTGGGAGCACTACGTTATCTAGGTGTCTACATTCCTGTCACTTACAAGCCAATCAGCTGACCGTTGTGAGAATCTAATTTTGTCCTAATGTTTGTTTTTAAAGGGCTGAAGTGATGGAAGTGGCCCTGGTTGTCATTACAGTTAAGGTTTGTGTGGCTGTGGTTGAAGCTCCTAACGAGCTTTTGACCAAACAATTCCAGTTGTTTGATTGTCAGGAGCAGCAGTGCAGTGAGGCAGATTTGAAACAATATGTTGTTCTCCTAACAAAAGGTGCTAGACTGCATAATTATAATTATTCAAGAGAAATAATTTCAGCTCTATAAATGTTCATAGTCTAGATTGCACTGTTTTTAGGTTGTGAGTAGCAACATTCGCAGTCAGCTGGGAGGTGGTGGCATCATTAATGGCAGAGTGTTTTCCTTAATATAGTGCTGACATGGTCAGTACATATTATTCAGAATTAATCAGGAATTAAAAAGCTACAGCCCGATTATTTGTTAAAATGGTTACAATCATCAAAAGGACTCAACTCACCAATGTGTACGTCAACAACAGTGGAGTCCTTTTTGCTTTCCTCCTTAGGTTTAGGGTTTAGAGCTGATAATGACTTAGACTTCAGAGGGCTAAAGCAAATACTTTTTAAAAATTCAAAGTGTTTGGTTTTTATAAACTAGATAATTAATATAGTCTGATAGCACAGCGAAGGCATCGAGGTTTTAAGACCTCCGAGCACTGAATATTACACAAATATAATATTTATCAGGACTAAAATTCCAAATTTGCAATAATAATTTTTCTCCTCTACAAACGTGTAAATGCGAGTCTTTTGGTGAATAAACCAAAACCTTTACTTGAGACAAGTTGGTGCATTAAAATTTTAAGACTTTGAATTGATTCTGAATTTTATTTTTTACCTATATGTCCGTCTCAGAACACCGTACCATTTATCCTTTTCAGCCAGAGCTAATGAAAAGTAAATGGTCTCAGTTTTAATCTCCTATCAAAGTCAAACCATATTCATCCTTAGTTTAGAATATCTGTCGGTTTATTTTCTGCACATCACTGTTTCATATTAACACTTAACTCTGGGAGACATTAACATTGTTTTTACAGGCTGTTCTAATATCAAATGAAAATAGGCGCATGAAGTGGCTTTAGAAAGTACTATACTTGTTCAATTTGCTTTTATAAAGGACTTGATCTTTGGTTGTTTCAATTCCCTATTGTAATTATTACTACTCATTTATTTATTTGATGTCTGCTAATTTCCACATTTTTGGAGTTTCGAGATCATGGGTTTTATCTTCCAGTTAAATTTGAAAATGTGTTTTTAATGTTCAGGAAATTTGATCTGGAAGTAGGACGTGGAGTTGGGGGAGAGGAATTTATTGACTTGTAATAATAATTTTGTGTGATGTTAGAAGAACCACTCATACTAGGATCTACTTCTAATCACTACAACAGAGATCTTGTCACCAGCATATATCTTCCATCAGTTTTGGAAGCTAAAGTGGACATGTGCTATTTGTCCATCTTTATATACAGTCAGCGGTTGCATCTGTAGTCAGTGTGCCTGCCCAGCACCAAACAGCAGACCAGTTTAAGAGCATTAAAGTGGCCCAGAAATTGAATTTAATGCCACTTAAATGGAACCACACTTGAGCATTTTTCTCTTCACCAGCCTAACACACTGCTTAGAAAGAGTTCACAGGAATACACAACAGGATGAGTTTATATTTGCCTCCAACTGCTAAGTTTACGCATGACTGACTGAAAAGTCACCCAACTGCAAACCTAAGGCTTGGTATAAACCCTCAACACCCACACAAACCAACACTCTCCTTTGAACTTTAAATCGGAAATATTAAAAATAACACAGAAGAATTAGCAAAACAAAATGAAATCCAAATATAAAATCAAAAACCTTCACAGTCCAGCTTTAAAATAAGACGTGTTACACTGTTTGTCTGTCCATTCTTACAAATGAACTGTTCGGCAGTATTCAGATTTGATGCAATAAATACAACAGTTGAAAAATAAAGGTTTATAAATAAATGTTTACATTGGCTAACACAGTACTTCTCCAAGCCTTTGATTTATTATACCTCATAGCAGATGCTCACCGTGGCATCTTTCCTTTACTCATATAGTGTATTTACATGACTATTTACCAAGTGCTCTTGGGTGTGTGATGTTACCCTAAGCAAAGCAGTGATTATTCTCAAATTCACCTGACTTTGTCTCAGAAAAATCAAATAAAAAAGGAACATGGTGAAGCACAGACTTGGTAAAAACAAGAACGTGTCAGTCATAATAATACCATGAGTAATATAGAGAGTCACATGACAGATGGACTCATACTGTATGCAAAACTGTAAGCTGAACATACATAACAGGATGACTGACAAGTCCTGTGCACACACACGCACACACATGCACACACACTCACAACAGCAGGATGTAGACTGCTGATACCATGCCTGTAAACATACTATAGTGCACTGGCCACCCTGGGTTATCATTCAGCACAGTTTTTATTCAGAGAAATGCCAGCTAGCACTTTTTAACTGGGGGGAAAATACCACATGAAGTTGCCCCAACATATTCATATTTGCACTGATGCTGAAAGTGATGCTTGAAGTGAAACGTTTCCCCTGAAGTGATTACGAGACAGGTAGAAAGGTCACAAAACTGTTGTAAACATTGTTTACCCTGCAGATCATGGTATACAGACAGTATCTGCAAACTTAACTATCACCGTAAAGCATGTTTTTTTCAGAGAGAGAGGTGTTACGGCCCATGTTGACCGATGGCAGTATGGGTGTAGTTCCTGGATTAAACAGAATGGTAGAAGAGTAATCTGGAGTTTACTGCATTTATACTGTTTACAGGTTAGCATGTGTGGTGCTAAACAACAGGTACTGTGGAGAAAATACGAATCTAGCATTTGGATGCAAACTTGACTTGGCTTGATATGACCATTAGCTTGTGATGGCTAATGTTTGCCTGTTTTATATTCAAGGTATTTGCTGTATGAATGACAGTTGTAGTTTTTCCAAGCAGAACTGTTTAATTTGGCAGCATCTCACTTCAGAATACTGATAGTTTAAAAACTGCTTCCTCGTTTCTTAAAGTTCAAGGTAACAAGGTCACTCGCCCACAGCACTCTGAGTTCACAGCACCACAGCTGCATGTCTGGGGGTATTTAAGGACAGTTTGAGTAAGCACATGTCTCTAAACACTTCTCAAAGTTCCAGCTCCTGTTTGATACCATGGTCTGTTTGGCTCTGTTACACACAGAGAGTTGGTGTAATGGCTTTATAATGATTTAGTATTTCAAAATTGTCCAGCCAGTTTCTCCACATTGTAACACAGTACAGCAGAAATCTGAAGGTGCATTTAGGCTGAAGGCAAAGCAGTTGGTGGGAATTTGACTGAATTTGCACAAACAGCTAAAATACTTGGGATTTTTTGTTTTTTCATTAAAGAGAAAAAGTCTCACATGTGCTTTCAGTCTGAACACACCTTCAGTTAGGTTTTGTTTTTTCACTTCGACACTTCTCCATTTAAAAAGAAAAATGAAATCCAGGTAATTATAGAACATTTACTGGCAAATCATTCCCAGGAATTTGTGCCGCAATAAAAACAAACAAACAACAACAACAAACCAGAACATGTCCTGCTTATTGAAAATATTGGATACATTGTAAAAAAAAAACCCCAGGATAGTTTCTGTTATTTAAAGGTATTTGTGAAAAAAGTGAAAAAAGAAGCGTTTGATGCAATAAAATCTGAATTCTGTGTCTTCTTGGTCGGTCTGTGCTAATCTTTGGGACTGTTTTGAACTTTATATTGAGTTTACGTGGCATATTGCACAGCCTGTAGGTGTTTAAAATGTTACAGAACAATGAGGTTTTGCAGTTGCGTCGCAATATGGCTGTCAACGTAATAATCCACTGGACAACTTGCTGTGCTAATAACTGGGCTTCATGCTGGAATTTACCAAGTGAACCAAACAGATGTGCTCACAATAAAGTGATGGTTTGCCAACCAGCTACTACGGTTTGTTTGCTAACAAGTTGACAATATCTAGTCTCTCAAAAAGATCGCCATGTTTCGTGTCGGACTCGTGAAGAGGTCCAATTTGGCTGCCAGGGGGTTTGTTACATCCACTGAAAGCCCTCCTTATGTCATGTGTGTAGCTGTGTGCCTGCATTAGCTAAATCCTCTGTATGTGTGTTATTAGCATTAGCATGCACAAATGCCACACAGACACGCAGGTATGTGTTTGAGAGCCAAAATGCCCCTTGAGGCATTCAGACACGTATAAGTATGTGTCAAGCCTTTATATGAACGTTGTAAACTAACACCATTTCCCATCATGCATCAGCAAAGCTTCACCAATGGTTTCACCAAACATGGCTGAGAAAACATGCTGTAGCGTCGCATCGCATTCAACCGACAACGTTTTGTCTCCAGTTTCATGTCCCTTTAAACAATACCTCTTTATAGAAACATACCATATAATATTAAACAGGCATTTCAACTCCTTATAAAAATTGGTGCGGCCACAATAGAAATTGTACATTGATTTCATCCTTTTAGAAAGACTTGGTTTTTTTTTTAGAAAAGAAAAGACACTTGTTGAGGTTCCTGGGACTGACTGTGAGAGCAGTAAGGTGAATAACTGACCAAGAGCCTTTCAGCAAGGAACACGACACAAAGACACAGACGGTCAGTGTAAAGGCCAGTCTGTAGCTGTACGCTTCTCTCCAATAATGTGTTTGTCCCTTCTGTCCCTGAAGGTAGAATAATAATAACAATAATTATAATTAAAAAAAGAAATCATACTAACACTACGACTAAAACAGATCTGATAAAAGGAGTGTGTGTATTGGCTACATGAAACCATTCACTGAAAATAAAACCCTTTGGACTCAGTTCCAGAGGGAGCGTTGGAGGAGAGGCCAGGCGATACTCAACAGTCGAGAAGTCGATCTCTTGTGGGTGGTGCTGTATTTAATGTGTGTGACTGAGTGGGTGATTTACCCAGGAAGATGAAAATCTTTCTGGTTTCCTAAACTGAATTCCCCTGCTTATCTCTCCTGCTCAGAGTCTCTCAGAGTCTCTCTCCCCTCAGGTGGTCCTCTTCTCTACCTTCATTAATCCTCCTTCGTTCATTCATCCATCTATTTGCTGCCCCATCAATCTTTCCTTGAGCACCTCCTTATCTGTAACATCTTCTTCTCATCCTGGCTGTCTGCTCTTCTCCATGGCAGTATTTAAATAAAAAGCTCAGGTGATGAGTCTAAGGCTCCTCTTCCCCAGTGGAAACAGCCAAGCGCATGGCCACAGACAGGTGGTCGGTGAGGCCGGCCAGCTGGGTGACGAAGCTGAACTCCTCGATTTCCTGCAGGATGAAGAGTAGAAGAGAGCATCGTCAGATCACGAAGGCGTCACAAAGCTCGCAGTTAATTCTGCAGCAACTTTCAACGTTAGGGCGGGTTTGGTTTTTGTTTTCAGAAAGTAAAAGACGTTTCAAATAAAGTCACGTGCATTAATTTTGGCATTGCTGGTTTTCTGTTAAAAGCTTTTCAGTTTAGGAGTGATAGTTAGGAGTGTTGGGAATCAGTGTCTTACAGCCTTGTTTTAGATAAGAGGAAGCACCACTGCACATGACATCTTCGGGCAGCCTACAATATTACCAAAACCAACATCCTCCAGTATAAAGCAAGCATTAGTGTAATCACTGAAATGCTGAAATCTTTAGTTAGATGTTAAAAGAGAAATTACTTTAACACAAGCTAATGAGGCAGCTCTCTGCTGCTGCTTTTCAATTTGCTATCGGAACATTTGTTCCCCTCTGAAGCGGTTTATTCATTAACCATAATCTCAATAACTGAGAGTCCAAAATAGCCCACATTTTTATGTATACATTTTACAGAAAGAGGCCATCTAGATTCATCATAGCTGCTTGGTGCTTTTTGAATATGAGGTGCTCCCTCTCCTGAAAAAAAAAAAAAATCAGCTTTATGAATGGTGACATTGTCATGTTGGAGCAGGAAGGGCCTTCCTGCCTCATGCTGTCACTAAATGTCACTGGAACTCTGGGGACTTGTCCAAAACCATGATAAACAACCCTGACCAAAAGTATGTGGACTGTAATGTCAATAGAAGGTACTTTCCACAGACAACGACTGCTAACGTAGCTGCAAGTACTACTAAAACCTTTGTCATGACAATCAATGAGAGTTCATTTAATAATGTTGATATGTTTTATCAATAGTGCCGTTTTAAGATGAGATGTGACAATTTATGAATTTTTAATAGTACTTCGAACAATCTAATTGACAGGAAACTTACATTTCAAAATGAAACATTCTTTTAGTATGGATTTGTATGTTAGTTTACATTTTTATGGCAAAAAAACCAAAACATTTTACAAAATATATCAAATTCTTTTTTCTTTTTTTGGTGTAAGAGATAAACAGAGAGAATTTTGAGGTGGTCCATATTCCTAATATTACTTCTAGTATTTTCCCCAATTAAATAAAAATGCTTGGACTTTTGCAACACATTCCTCTGAAGGCTACTTCTTCAAAATGACCTTTTGGTCATGCTCTAAAGGCACATTACTCATATACAATGGAGAAGCTGATTTCTGGAAGATTTTATTAATAACAACACATGAAAGGGGAAAAAAGTATTTTTCTTGGCTGCTGACTATGTTTCCTGATTTAAGAAGTGGTTAAAAATATATATCAACATCTCCACAAATAAACCCTCCCTCTATACAAAATCCATTCACTGAAACTAGTTATAAGCAATATTTAATATGTAAATTGGGTCATACTTTGATATATCGACTCATTTAAAACTTAATTGTCTTCATTAAGGTAATCCACTAATCTCCTTCTGCTAGTTGTGTCTCCACTAAATAATTATTGCAGGACAATTTAAACCTAAGAGCGGAAACATTTTTATCCAAGTATGTTCTTCAAAAAATAATTTAAAGTAACATGAAGAGATAAAGAGAAACAACACAAGATTAAGGTAAACATGTAAATAAATGAGACCCTTCAAGTGACGGGAGGTTAGCGACATGCTTGATCAGCTCCACTTAAGGGAAATGATGCTACAGTAACTGTACTTTGACAGAAGGTGGCGTCAGGCGGCTGCCTTCAGAGAGCCAATAGAAAGAGTCAGACAGAGAGATGGAAAGAAAGGAGAGAGGTGTAAATAGTATGATTTGGTTTTCCAATCCTCTCCAGTCCCTCACACAGACAGCCCTGCCCTCATTCCTTTTCTTCCCTACTTTTTTGTTGTTGTTTTTGCTGTGTTTCATTGTTCACCTCTCCAGATTTTAGTCAAACATTCTCCCGTGGTGTGACATAATTTCAGCCTGCTTCACACGGCTCGGGAAAATTAGGTTTTTAGCTTTGTTGCTAGGAAATTAATCAGAGGAGAATTAAACATATCACCTCCCCGCTGACAAGAAAATGCCACAATTCTGTGCCCCCTGTTAGCAAACTCTTTTGTGTTGGTGTTTTAAGTATGTAATATTTGGAGATGCTTTCACACATCCAACGCAGTAGGAACACTGATTCAAAACATGTGCTGCCTTTTTTCATAATAAACCCTTTTGACATGCCAGTGAAACTGAATGAACGCTGCATTACCTAAGGAAGGTTTCGCTTTTGTCCACTTAATGGAAGGGTTGCTCTTAGTGTTATTAATCACACGTCCTTCTCGTGCTGTGATAAATCTGAATGTCTGCTGTGAAAAACGTGCACTGTGTACTGAGTCTGTGTACCGTGTAAGACGTCACATTGTTATTCTCAGTTCCTTGTATAATCAAAACTTTATTGATTCCTGCAGGGAAAAAGTGTTGCTCAAAATTATGGAAGTTGTAAAATTATATTAGAAATACAATACTTTGAGGATACAAAAAGCACCAGGGGTACACAGTCCCTACGATATCTGCATGTTCAAATGGTGATCTGTGAAGGGTACCATTTCTTTTCCCTTTATTTCTTTTCCATGTAACGCTCAATGTGACGACACTGAAATCTGGGAACACCTTTGTAGTTCTGTATTGGTAAATTTGAATTTCCTGAGTAAAAGTGAAAGACTGGCCTGTGTGTGTGTGTGTGCGCAGAAAGCTAACATGTTTGCAAGCTAAAGAACACAATCAGAAAGGACTTCCACTGGCGACCTCTCCAGGAGATACCCCACCTCTTGTCTCATGACTGCCGCGATACACCCCCACCTCCTGTGACTCCACCTTGGATAAGCTTAAGAAAATCGTAGAATGAATGGAATTGGTTTCCCTAGCTCAGCGTTCCCAAACCTTTTCTGCGCCACAGACCAATTTAATGTCAGACAATATTTTCATGGACCGGCATTTAAGGTGTCGCTGATCAATACAACAAACTAAAATGATACGACCAAGACAGAAACTGTGGTGTTTTGTAAATATAATAATAAACACAAATTCACTGTATAATTGTGTAAGTTTATTAGCAGCGTCCTCCTGAAATGCGCCAACAACACTGAGAGTAACATCGTCCTCTCTGTCCCTTAATGCTCTCTGGTCGCTATGGTAATGCGTAAATATTTCTTTCAAAATAAGACACAACTACAACACGGGAAAAGGCCCAGGGAAACCGAGTTAATTATAAAAACCCAGAAAACCATAAATGTCAAACTCAAGCCTCAACTCTGGCAGCCCGGTACCAAACGACTCACGGAGCGGTACTGGTCCATGGCCTGGGGGTTGTGGACCGCTGCCCTAGACAGCAGCGTGAAAGGTTTTGGGTAGCTGGTTAACATTAGCATGTAGCTGATTAGCTTAAAACAAAGTATTGGCTACAGTAGGTTAGCACTGCTTAGATAGCTAACATCAGTTAGCTCAAAGCAGTGCTGAATGGTAGAGCACCCAAATGAGCTGTTGGATTTTGAATATAGGAAAGGATGACGTCACTTCATGTCAGTGTTAGCTGCGGGGTTTACGTCTGTGAGCCCGAACTGTCTGAAAGCGCTTGTACACGCGTGATTCAAAGGAGTCTTATCTATATGACATAAATAAATGGGCAGTTGTGAGCACAAAAGTTCACATTTCAGAAACTCACTAATTGACAACACTTTGCGTTGACACCATCGCTGAACAATGATTTGCCGTCTCTAGTCTGCAGTTATGGAAGTCTGGACTTCCATAAAGACTCATAAAACAAATGAAAGGCAGAAAATGAAAATCATATGTTTATCTGCTTGTAATATGTTGTTATTACTGTGAATTTGTGGTTGAAGTAATCCCTTCAGAATACAATAAAAATGGCATGTTTTTAATAACGTTTCAATTATGACTTGACCGCTAGCACGACCTCATTTAAATAATGCTTTCAATATAGCCATCTACTCTATGACTGCATTCAAACAACGTAATTAAAATTTAAACTGATTATGGTCAATGGAGCGAATTAGAGGACCTCTTAAAAGCACTTAGATGTCCGGTCAAAAGTTTACACTCATCATGGGAATACACTTCTTAGTATAATATTGGACTTAATTCTATGAACTGTTGTTTTTCTGAGGCTGACTGAGTAAACAGCATATATCTTTAAGATTAAAAATAAAGAAATACTTTGAGGCTTTGTAAATTACTAAGCATATTGCAAGCTAATTAGTTCAAACACAAATAAAAGGACAGGTGATTAAGAGGTGTTGCCAGTTTTCTAAGGTCTAAAAAAGTCTCAAATTGACAATAAAAATATGAGACTGAGTCTTGAGAGCAACATCCAGTTGCCGTACCAGTTTCCAGTCCTGTTGGAGGCCCTCGTCGCTGTAAAGGATGTAGTCAATACGGCGTCCGTTGCCCTTCAGCGGGATTTTTCTTCCCTTCTGACTGCTGGCGGGACACTGGCTCTTACTGGGAGGAAACACCAGGTACTCCTTCCTTCCCTCTTCGTTCTCCATAAGTCTGAAAACAACACACAACGTACTGAAGTTTAGATGCTGTGTTGTATCCAAATGCTATAGTTAATTGGAATTCTGTCAGGACCACTATAACCAAAAAGATTATTATTTCAGTCTACAGTCATTTATATTTTGGGATATTGGCTCTGTTCTCCAACCTCTATAGACTTCTGTGTGCATACGTGGAAAGTGAAGAGAGTATTAACAAGACTCCAGAGCAGGCACTGAAGATAAATATGTCAGACACTGAATGATAACGAGCAGTTGGGGTGGAGATGGTTTGCAGTGTATCAGCTGAGCAACGGTCAAGTGTGGCTTTGCACTCCCATCATCTAAATTTGCTGAGATTAGGGCTTATCTTGACTTCGTGGCCTGCCTGGTGATGTCATGACGATGCTTCATTGAAAATTTCCGAAGAAATTATAGTAATTACAGCAAATTGCAAACATGAGCACTGGGTCAATGGTAATTTCAGAGCTTTAAATCTCAGATATGTTTTGGTACACATATATTATGGGTACACTTGTAAGATTTGGGAGCAGAAGTTAGACCGCTGTGATTTATGATCGTCATGCGAATAAAAGGAGAGGTAATTTGATTTTTCAGGGGATGAGACTCACTTTTGTAAACTTTCCGGTGAACTGACATCTTCATCATAAAGGCCACTGGGATCCAGCAGAGTACCTGTTTAAAGACACATTACAATGCATTAAAGTGGAGACGTGCACAAGTAAATTCAGCCTGCATTTCTCTCCTTCCCTCCCCCTCGTTCTCCCTCAGCCTTGTAGTATCAGTCCATGGCTCAGTCTTTTAGCTAGCATCATCACATTTTTTTATAATGGACTACTTAGCACATCCATTCATTCACACTGATGTGTTTACATTAGCAAATAGGATGCAGAAAATGACTTCTCTTGTAACTGTTTACAATTTGACTATGGGACAGCTGAGCAGTCTGTCCAGTCGTCCAATTTAGCTGCAGAGTTTTTAAAGAATATAGCTTGTGTGGATGAAAATGCTGTGTAAGCGTCCCTTGATGGAGGTGCCTAATAGAGAAAAAAGGTAATTCTCACAGCCAGAATTACAAACATTTTCATAAATAAAATACAAACTTCCACAAGATTAAAACATTTTAAAAGGCAAACATCTAATATCTCCACTGTTCTTGGTTTCCATGATAAAGTCCTTAACTACAGTTAACACACCAGCAGAGTGCTTCTGCTTGTGCTTATGGTCCAGGTCAGGTGTTAAATCCCATCAGACTAACCTGGTGAAAACTGTCAGTAAAAGAGTGCCCAGTGCATTGTAATAGAACACCTACATGTCCTGATTAAGCATCATTATGTGAGCAGGGAGTGAGAAAAGGTTCAGGTGGTTCATTTCCATGTTTACTTTAGGCGAGAATGAAAAATGATTTATGCAAAAATATTTTTTTGGAAGGCAGCGCAGAGCTTGCACTTTCTACCCTGATACTGAAGGTATGCAGGTATGGAGTGATACAAGTTAGCATGACCCACAGGTACATACACTGATGGAGGTCAGGTTTAGAAGAAAAAAAAGAGGAAAAATAGGATTACCTTTTACTTGCTGGCTGAGCTTTTTTTTCCTTCTCTGAATTCATGAAGCGTCTCTTTCATGAAATGTGTCAGCAGGAGATTATCAGTGTGCATGATGCTTTTATAAAGTGCACAATGCTCATATGACTCTGCAGGGTTTGCAGAGTCCAAGTTGGAGGGCAACAAAAGCTCTTAATGGAAGGTTAAAATGACACAATGAATTTAGATGTTTGTCTCAAATCATTAGACTAGAAAAAGTTGTCTATCTCTCAGCGTTTGGAGAGGTACTTAAATACTTTTTTCTACTCTGAGAACTCAAAGTGCTTTCTTACTACATTTTTCTATGACTAAGCAGGTTTAACCTAACAACCACACACTCATACTCTGATGGATGAGTTAAAGCACCAATCTTAAAACGACTAGACAGTCTGCTCTTGCTCCTGAGCTGCAGCCTTTGTTCATCTAATTTACCAATTTCAAATGTTATCAGATAATGGGAACCAGCTCAGAAGGTACCTGATAGGCAATTTGGTGGTTTGACCCCTGACTGCTACAGTGTGCGTGCCTAAATATCCTTGGACAAGATACTGAACCCCAAGTTGCTCTTCTAGATAGAAAAGATCCAGGTTTAGAAAAAAGTACTGGTATGACTGGGTGTGAATAAAGCTGAAGAAAGTGCTTTGAGTGTTTAAGTAAAGAGGAAATGTGCTATCTAAGAACCAGTCCATTTACCATTCACTGAACAAAAGTTATCACTGCTGTATACATCATCAGCTGGCGCCAATTTCATGTTCATAAAATAAGATCCTGTTGTAGCTTTAGAAGAAGAATAGTCTCCCTTTATAATCATATCTTTGGTGGAGGGCACTGTGGTTTGTCCCAGTCTTAAACTTTTAATGACAATTTTGTACTTTAATACACAGGACCAAAAATGTACGAGCTACAGGAGTGTCCATTAATAGATTTTATATAAATTTATTTTTGTTCACCAAGTCATTAAAACCATTGGTGATGACCCTAACCCAAGAACAAAATATATTATAGTATATATAGTATATATACTAGAATAGTATATATATTAGTATATATATTATATATAGTTAGGGATGTGTACCGATTACAATGACTGAACAATTTTCAAAACTCTCTAATGGCATAAAATTCAGGTGAGGCTCATCGCTCATGATTTGTTAGTGGATTAATGTACTTCTGCTTGTGCTTCTCTTGTGCTTTTCTAGTCTTACTGACCTCTTAAAGGTTTATCTACCTGTGACCAATGAATTGACGTTCATCTTCCTGACAGGCGTGTCTCTGGGCACTGGGAGGACATTGGCGCAGCTGAAAATAAACAACCAGACTTCTTGCTATTTGGTAAATCTCTGTTTTTCATTGTTTTGCCCTTTGTAGACTGAAACTTGTGAGCATGAATCGAATTATTTCAATTAGCTTAAATAAAGATGAAAACAGCAAAACACCAGTATCTGATTAAAATCTGGCTCGTGAAAAATATTCATATACAACTGCACCAATGATTCATCTCCACTCTGTGTATTTCATTTGCAGTGACATACTGCAGAAACCATTTCTGCTCACGCTTTATTGATGTAGTTTACACTGCACAGTCCTCCCCCTCACTATGTCAAATAACATCTAGCTTCCAGTATAGCTATTCTAAAGGGTCAGAAACCCTCTCCGCCTTTATAATCCTCAGACTACAATCTACTGTCATAAACCAGTGGAATAAAACAGCAAGAGAGAGAGATGCACTCAGAGCTGCTTTTGAGAATGAGGACTCAAGGCCGTGGGCTGGATAATGCGTTTAAAATGCTCCGCATGACGAGCGCAGCACTCTGAAGTTACTCCAGTCAATTCATGAGTGTTGGGAGCTCTTATGAAGAGTAGGCGTCTGATGCGCGGACAGTGTTTTTCACAATTCTAAGAGCAGGTTTTAGATCAGTGAAAATAAAGATGGCGGGGTGTCCGGTGGGCATACTCCGCTACACTGCTGCCGTTTTTAGCCAACCCATTCTCACTCGGTCAGAACCTGTAGGTGTCGCCCACTGGGTACGCTGTTAGCAGCTCGACAGAGTCGGTGGGAGTCCCTCAAGGTCAGAAATAACTAGAGATGGTACGATACCACTTTTTTATGTCCGATACCGATATCATAAATTTGGATATCTGCCGATACCGATATGAATCCGATATAGCGTGTTTTAATCAACAAAACTGTTTTTTTAAATATCTTGCTGCATTTTGTAGAAGTTCATACTCAAGTTTAAAACAAAAACTACACTAAAGCTATTCTGTTATACCTGTATGCAAAAAAAAAAATTCATAGTTCAGCAATACTGATCAATCTAATAAACTTAAACCTACACCATCCTCCCTATTCTGGTATTTTAAAGAGTACT